TATTGTCAACACCGTGCTTCGGCAATGCGTTCGCTGTTGTATATTGCAGTCTTTGTTTGCTTTTCGACAAAAGCAATGCACCTCGAGCTGGCTAGCGACTTATCTACCGCTAGTTTTCTCTCAGTATTGCGAAGGTTCATCGGCTACCGTGGAAGACCTGTTGAAATACATTCGGACAATGCCAAAAACTTCTCAGGGGCCTGTAACGAACTAAAAGCGCTGGTCGAACTGCTGAATAACCAGATTAGCTCTACCGTCATCAGTAAGGAACTTTCTCAGCAAGGAATTGAATGGAAGTTCATTCCACCACGCGCTCCTAACTTTGGAGGACTATGGGAGGCCGCGGTACGCTCCGTGAAAACTGCGCTGAAGAAGGAGATCGGCCTCCAACAGTTAAGCTACGACAACTTCGCCACGCTTCTAGTTCAAATCACCGCCGCACTGAATTCACGACCTTTATCTCCTCTATCTGACGACCCCACTGAATTTGAAGCGCTAACCCCGGCGCATTTTTTGATAGGCTCAGCCATGACAGCCCTTCCTGACCCCAACGTAATGTCAATTCCCACAAACCGCCTTGACCACTACCAGCAAATCCAGCAAATGTTTCAGCGCTACTGGCAGCGATGGAGCAAGCAGTACCTCACGCAGCTACAGGTGACAACGAAGAACCTGCCGATCAACCCCATCCAAATCGGAGGAATCGTCGTGCTACGAGAGGATAACCTGCCACCACTTTGTTGGCCACTGGCGAGGATCATCAGCTCACACCCAGGCTCAGACGGAATCGTGCGAGTAGTGACGGTGAAGACGGCGACTGGTGTGTATAAGCGGGCAGTCAATCGCATTTGTCCACTACCCAATGATGATGTAGATCGACGAACTACAAGGTCTTCAGGGCTGCCAGCAATCTCGAGCTCTTAGAAATAAGCATTTGATGAACGATTGAATTGAAAAATGAATTTTGAAGCTAGTTCAAGGGGGCCGGTAATGAAGCATGTTAGTTTGAATTTATACGACACTGGAATAGAACAACACATACATGCGTTCCACGATTAAAAATTAAAGCTAGAATAAGTTAATTAAGCATAACTGTTATACACAAAAACACCTCTGACAATTTGAACATCCCAATACCTACACTATAACACTGATAACATTGATAACTACAGATAACACATATAGAAAAGAAGTACATAGACCACATGCAAGTATAGGAAACGAAACGAACCATGCAATACAAAACAACAGATAATAAACAACAGGCTAGAAGTAGCCAACAGATCGTCAGGCAATAAAGTTGAATCTCGCCGTTTTTCGAACAAATAAACGCGTACCATAGTAATTCTTTGATAGTGCTGAAATAAATTGTGAACCTTTTTATTTTCACCAATAAAGTGATTCGGTTCTTTTTGTGCATTGCAAAAAGTGTTTTTGTGCAGTGAAGAAAAGACTAACAAGTTAACTCGGTTGGCTTGTGTAATCGTGCGCATTTGGAAAGGAAGAAAAGGAAAATTTTGAGATTTGAAACAGAAGTTTCTACTACTGGTGCTATTTTCCGAGCCACTGTGTTTCTCCAACCCACGAACACGGAGTGGTCGACATTATGAAGTTATTCAATACTATCCGAAGAGATTCCAAGCCTTTCTGAAATGATTCAGTTAAGCATTCAATACTTTCTGAAATGATTTCAATCTTTTCTAGAGTGGTTCAATACTTGCAAAAGTGATTACAAACTTTCTGGAACAATTCACTGCTTTCCGGAGTTATTCCAAACTTTCGTAAGGTGATTCAGTGCTTTCCAAAGTGAATATGATCTTTCTGAAGCCGTTCAGTACATCCGAAGTGATTCCGAACATTCTTTGAGTTATCCAGTATTTTCCGAAGTGATTCAATTATTTTCAAAGTGATTCAATTTTTGCGGAAATGGTTACAAGCTTTCTGGGATGATTCAGTACTTTCCAAAGTGAATCCAAAATTTCAAATCTTTCTGAAGCGGTTCAGTACTTCCGAAGTGATTCCGGACATTCCTGAAGTGATTCAGTATTTTCTAAGTGATTCAATTATTTTCAAAGTGATTCTGTTCTTGCGGAAATGACTACAAGCTTTCTGCGATGATTCAGTACTTTCTAAAGTAAATCCAAAAGGTCATGAAGTGATTCAATACTATCCGAAGAGATTCCAAGCCTTTCTGAAATGATTCAGTTAAGCATTCACTACTGTTTGAAATGATTTCAAACTTTCCTAGAGTGGTTCAATACTTGCGGAAGTGATTACAAACTTTCTGGAACAATTCAGTGCTTTCCGGAGTGTAAGGTGATTCAGTACTTTTCAAAGTGATTATGATCTTTCTGAAGCGGTTCAGTACTTCCGAAGTGATTCCGAACATTCCTGAAGTGATTCAGTATTTTCCAAAGTGATTCAATTATATTCAAAGTGATTCCGTTCTTGCGAAAATGGTTACAAGCCTTCTGGAATGATTCGATACTTTCCAAAGTGAATCTAAAATTTTATGAAGTGATTCAATACTATCCGAAGAGATTCCAAGCCTTTCTGAAATGATTCAAATAAGCATTCAGTACTTTCTGAAATGATTTCAAACTTGCCTAGAGTGGGTCAGTACTTGCGGAAGTGATTACAAACTTTCTGTAACAATTCAGTGCTTTCCAAACTTGTCTGCAGAGAATCCGACTTGTTTGAAGTGTTTCAGTACTTTCTGAAATGATTCAGTACTTTCCGAAGTGATTCTGAACATTTCTGAAGTCATTCAATGCATTCCTAAGTGACTCAATTATTTCCGAAGTGAACTTTCCACAATGATTCAGTATTTTTCAAAGTGGATTCCGATCTTTTCTAAACTTATTAAGTACTTTGTGAAGTTTCTCCTGACATTTCTGTGATTCTGTGGTGATTCAGTACTTTCTGAAGTGATTCCAATTTGATCTGAATCGATTTTGGCCGTTCAGAATGGATTCCAGTTTGTAATAACTGAACCATTTCAGAAAATCTTAGTAGGTACAGAATCACTTTGACTAGTACTGAGCGTTGGAAATTTATTTTTTTGACGTAGTACTACGTCTGTGATTTATATATATAGGGGTACACTTTGTGAAAACCGAAAATGGCACATGTAACAAAATTATGAAAGATTTTGAACGTTAATAACTCAGCTGCCCCTGGACCAATTTCAATAATTTTATCACCAATGGATCAGAAATATTTCTACGCATCTGTAAATTGAAGACTTAGTCATTTTCAAAATGTCACTATTGTAAATTGCACCAATGTGCAATTGTTGTTATTAAAATTATCTTCAATTGCCTGCGAAAAGCGATGTCCCTAATACAGATTTCAAAGTTGAATTCCATCTGGTCTCACCAAACGATGTTTATTCAATCACCGCGTGGTGAGTGGTGGTGTTCCCCAGTACACAACGAAAGGCTGCCTGCAAGCAGCGAGCTGCAGCCCACCTGAACATCCATAGAAGGAGGAAGAAGCCGCACCTCTATTGATCGGAATCAGAAGCTCTTCGTGAGTCACTATGGGCCATCTATGTCAAGCGCGTCATACTAAAGAGTATAAACAGAGAGAACCCCGCTCAAATTCCTACCCTAATAATCGGGTACCATACACTAACGATGATATCCCGAATGTTTGGTTAGGTGCTTCTTATGGTTATTGTTTTTGCGGGTATTCCTTCACAAAACACAAGCTTCTACTGCAGTTATGAAATGAGGTGGTTAGAAGGAAAGGGATGTAAGTGACCTTGATCGATTCTCTTCATCGACTTTCTCTTTTGATAGCCACAACTTTACAAGCAGATTTTGCACTATTTCTGCCACATAGTTTGATAAATGAGGTTCTCATCTAGCATCCAGAATGGCACACGAATCAAGGAATGTGTGTGCAGCTGAATTATTAACAAAAGAGAAAGTCGATGAAGACAATCGATCAAAGTCATTTACACCCCTTTCCTTCTAACCCCCTCAAATAAGATTTATTATATCCGGAGAACTTTGAGATTTGGCCGTAATTGCTTTTGTAAACAAACACGTCAATCGCCGATTTCTCGCTAATAAAATAACAATTTCGTGTACAAACTATACCAAATGATAGAGGAACCATTCCTCTACCTATTTGTGTTGTTAGTTTTTGAGATTTAGCTTTAATTCGCGAGAAATCTACAAATGACGTATTTGTTTACAAAAGCAATTACGCCCTAATCCAACGTCACCATTGCGTACAACCCCATAGGACTGTCCTTTGCAGTTTTTTTATTGTTATTATTATTAGAGTGACTTTTAGCCACTGGCTGGTTCGTCACGAGCGTTGGAAATGTTTTGAATCACTTCGGAAACAATTGGAAACACTGCATCCGTGTATTTAACTCATAAAATACTTTTAACATCAGAAAAGCTTGAATTCAGTAGAGAAAATGCTGAATCGCTTAAGGATAGACTCACTTCCAAAGTGTTATATTTTCTGGACTGATTTAACACATTCGGCCGTAATTCCAAACCGTGCACATATGCTCGAGGAGTTTGGCATTCCATTTTTGCTAAAAGTAGCAAAATTCGGAATCACGCGGTTTCCTAAAGCTCGATTTACTTAACATCTAGACGCAAGAAATCAGCTCTATCTCGGGATTGAGTGAGAAATCTGACGTTACGATCCATCATCACGAACCTGTATATATTTCACTGGATTCGAAATTACATAACCCGATAGTCCGGACATGATTTTGTCGGATGAGCAGAGGGGTAATGTACTGACTACGTAGTTTATGGACAGCCCCTGAGCCGACTTTACCCAGGCAATGAATGAAAACAAAAGCCAGGCGACTATTGTATCTCCCATAAAGCTTACTTCGGGAAAATAAAGAACGCAACGGTAGTTCCCCTCCATAGCAAATCTGAACTGGACAGCTCTTTGTTGTTCGACTATATCTCTGTTTGCCAAAGCTTAATTCGATTGATAAAAGATTCAGTCAAGCTATCTGTAGTGATTGGAACGCTTATTCCACTCCAGTAGTTACCTGAACAGGACAGCAATGTCACCCATGAAGCGATTCGGTTTATTGATCGTCGTAATTTTCCAACTTGCTGCGACAATCGGTAAGATCAAATTCTGCGCTTCTCGACGGTAACTCAAATAGATTTCACCATTCTAGGAGCAACCCGGTGTGCTTCGTGCAGCTCAGCAGTCGACCCGAAATGCTCTAAAGCCGGATACGACGATCAGACGAAGGAGTGCTACAACGTGAATCCCTGTGCCGTTTCCATCATCACCGGTACGGGGCACACTTTCCGAGGATGTTCCGCTGATGCGGAATGCTATCAGAACGAACTGTGCGATACATGCGACGGTGATGATTGCAATACGGGAACCTATCCACCGGGTCGAATGAGCTGCTTGACGTGTTCGTCCACGGGCGAGGCCGACTGTGAGCAGCTGTCGGACATACAGCAATTCAGTGCTGCTTGCATGTTGCACTTCGAAGACGGATCATGTGTAACGGTTTTCAAGGATTTCAAGCCGTTCGTTAGGGGATGCTTAGGTGACATGGACGCTGGGGTGAAGACAATTTGCGAGAGTGGATCTGCGGAGTGCGTTGTCTGCCGGGAGAACGACTGCAATGCGGTGAATGTAAGGCCGGACGAACAGTGTCTGCAGTGTGATTCGCAAGATCGGGGCTGCAACAACGGGAGTCACGTGGTCACTGCTTGTGGGAAAGTTTCCGACGGGAAATGTTACTCGAAGATGCAAAGCGGTGAGTGGATCAGCTGAATTTGAGAATGTTATAAAGTAGTATGATGACTATTTTATTCTACACTAGATGGCACCATCAAGCGCGGTTGCTTGCATGAACTTTCTGCGCAGGAGTTGGCAGCATGTAATTCCACCAGATGTATCGTTTGCTCTGGATTAGGCTGTAATAACGATGTGTTTGTCACCCGAAACGGTGGAGTACCTCTCGTAGAACCACTTAACAAACTGCTGATTGTATTCTTACTCGCGTTGTTTGTACTCATTGAACAGTAGTAAAACGCCATTGTTACACAAATCGAAAATAAACAGTTTGTTTTGTTTTAATCCCTTGCTCCCTCGATAAGTTATCTACAAACTGAAGAAGCAAGAAGCCTCCATGCCATTCAGTCGCCAGCCAACAGTATGGAAAGAACTGTATTGATCATTGCTTTGCTATGCGCCTCCCGGACGCTGGCGTTTCGCTGTAAAACCTGTAACTCAGAAGCCAAGCCAGCCTGTGTCCGGGATCCGTACACGGTTCTGGACAAGGTGTGTCCAGTTAACGATACGACATGCGCTACGGTGCTCATATCAGCAACTGGTCACCTCTTCCGTGGCTGTTCTAGTGAGGCGGAGTGCGTAGCTGAAGGCGATGCGTGCATCAAGTGCAACAAATATCAGAACTGCAACTTCTATCGGTACCCGGAAGGTCGTCTGGAATGCTACGTCTGTGAAACTAGCGCCAACCAGAACTGCGCTACGCTGCCCATCAACAAGCAGTTCGAGAAAGAATGCTTACGTCATATTCCGGGAGATCAATGCGTAACCGTCTTCGACGGCTTTCGCGTTATTCGCCGGGAGTGTAAATCTGGGTTGAATCCTTCGGATTTAGTCAAATGTGATTCGACAAGCGATAAAGAATGTGTGACTTGCACTGGAGTCGGATGCAACAAGATCAGGGTACGGATGGATGATAGCTGCTTGCAGTGTTCTTCGAATGATGCACTGAATTGTGCCAACGGACGGCGGGTGTCTACCGTTTGTAAGAAGTCTTCGGGTGGCGTTTGCTACAATCGTTTGAACGTGGACGGAACTTTGCAACGGGGTTGTATGTCGGACTTGAACGAAGAGGAGCAGAAGGTTTGCCAGGATCTGAATGATCAATCATGCGAGACCTGCTCCGGCGTTGGATGCAACAGTAACCTATTCCCTGCCAATGCCCTACAATGTGTTCAGTGTGATAGTGAAACGAACATGGACTGTGTTCAGGAGCAAGCTGAGGGCGCCTTGGTGAATCCCTGTACTCATCAAATCACCGGAGATAGGTGCTACACTAGACTTCGCAACGGTAAAATTTTGAGTATTTCCTCCGATCAGCAAGTTACCATCAAAAATTTCAGACGGATCCATCGAGCGGGGTTGTCAATCGTCTCTGCCTGTTCCGTGCAATCCTCAGTTGAACATGTCCTGCTCCGTTTGTGACGGATCGGCCTGCAATACCGAAGTGTTTCCCTGGGGAAGACGCTCGTGCTTTCAATGTGACGGTCTGAGCGATCTGACTTGTGGGTTGGAGCAAAAAAGATCCGAGGATGCAAAGGTTTGTGTTCGGTTTCAACCGCAGGACAAATGCTACACTCTGCTGGAAAATGGAAGAGGTATTTTTATGTTGAGTGGAACATTGTGATACGCTTAGTGATGGTAAACATTTTCAGTAATGAGAGGATGCTCGTCGGAGTTCCAAGTAGATGTTTGCACAGGATTTGAGAGAACTCAGTGCCAGACTTGTGCTACGGATCATTGCAACAAGGTCTCCGAGATCGGTTTACGTGCAACGGGGTGGAGAAACCAAGCCAATGTCTTAGCTGTGATTATGTTAATATTGTGCATGTTATTTCCGTAAGTAGGGAAATGTTTTTTTATGCTAAACTATTTCAATTTATTTGAACTATAAATAATTTTATTCGACAAACAGTGTCAGATTAATTCTAGCAAATAATAACACTTCTCACCGACACACCGACACCGGTTCCGATGAAAAAAATCAACCTGTCCTTCTTTACCAGCGTCCAGTTTATTCACTCATTTGAAAAGTTACCTGTCAAACGCATTATATAGACCGTTTGCCGGACCTTGTTACTTCTGATTTTGGTACCCAGTTTGTGGTAGGTTCTGTAACTGTTCGAATTTCCCGGCAAGTTCAGTAGCAACAGACTGGGTCTCAGGACAGGCTTCAAAATTATCCGGATAGGCATGGATAATATAATTATCCGGATAGACCTATCCAGTGGATAGAAATAAACGGAATCTATCCCTATCCACATTTCTTTCCCTCCGGATAATATCCAAGTTAAAATTATCCGGATAATTTTAACTTGGATATTATCCATTATTTTCCCGGATAGTATCCGGAGTAAAGGGTGATACGGTCAAAATTTGGTCAATATCAACTTGACGTATTTCTTTCAATTTTGCATTTAAAAAACCTGAACACCCCTCATTTTGAAGGTGTGTGTGTGTAGAATGTTGCTCTTATTTTGATTTTGGAATTCACTCTTCATTTGTCAAAATGCCGTCCAAGCAAGAAGAGCAGCGTATCAAAATTTTGCTCGCGCATTGCGAAAATCCGAGCTACTCGCACGCAAAGTTGGCAAAATCGCTAAAAGTTGCCAAATCAACCGTTACAAATGTAATTAAAGTGTTTGGGGAACGTTTGTCGACAGCCAGGAAGTCTGGATCGGGGGGAAATCGAAAACCGGAAGCCGCTGAGACGACAAAGAGAGTTGCCGGTAGTTTCAAGCGAAACCCTAACCTCTCTCTCCGAGATGCCGCAAATAAGCTGAGTGTATCGTCTACAACCGTGCATCGAGCCAAAAAACGAGCCGGACTATCGACTTACAAGAAGGTAGTGACTCCAAATCGCGATGGTAAACAAAATACGACGGCCAAAGCGCGATCCCGGAGGCTGTACATGACGATGCTGACGAAGTTTGACTGCGTGGTAATGGACGACGAAACCTACGTCAAAGCCGACTACAAGCAGCTTCCGGGACAAGAGTTTTATACGGCAAAAGGAAGGGGAAAGGTAGCAGATGTTTTCAAGCACATGAAACTGTCATAGTTCGCAAAGAAATATCTGGTTTGGCAAGCCATCTGTACCTGTGGCTTGAAAAGCAGCATTTTCATAGCTTCCGGGACTGTCAACCAAGAAATTTACGTGAAAGAGTGTTTGAATAAACGTCTGCTGCCTTTCCTGAAGAAACACGGTTGTTCCGTACTGTTTTGGCCGGATTTGGCATCTTGCCATTACGGTAAAAAGGCCATGGAGTGGTACGCCGCCAACAACGTGCAGGTGGTTCCCAAGGACAAGAAGCCTCCCAACACGCCAGAGCTCCGCTCAATTGAGAAATACTGGGCTATTGTCAAGCGGAACCTAAAGAAGACCAAAAAAACTGCTAAGGGCGAGCAACAGTTCAAGGCAAACTGGCTTTCTGCGGCGAAGAAGGTGGACAAGGTGGCTGTACAAAATCTGATGGCAGGGGTCAAGCGTAAGGCCCGGCAATTCGGATTTGGAAAAGCGGAAGCCTAACTGAATATTTTTCCTGAATTTTATACTAATTGAACTTGAAAAAGAAATTTAATTTGATTTTTTAAATAAACGATTTCACCGATTTACACGCGTTTTCCCTTGACCAAATTTTGACCGTATCACCCTTTACTCCGAACAGTTTATGTTTAGAATAGGGATGTTTGATATCAAATATGAACTCCTAAAAATGGGTATTTTTAGAACCGGGATGATGTCCAGAGGCCGGAAATCGATATCTTACGCCATTTTGAAATCCAAGATGGCGGCTTCCGGTTTCATAAAAGTGGGAAATACTGTCAAATACCCATCAATATGGGTATTTTTGGAATCGGGGTGATGTCCAGAGGCCGAAAATTGATATCCGACGACATTTTGAAATCCAATATGGCAGTTTCCGGTTTGATAGAAGGTGGAAAATACTGTCAAATACCCATCAATATGGGTATTTTAGAAGTAGGGGTGATGTCCAGAGGCCGCAAATCGATATCTGACGCCATTTTGAAATCCAAGATGGCGGCTTCCGATTTCATAAAAGTGGGAAATACTGTCAAATACCCATCAATATGGATATTTTTGGAATCGGGGTGATGTCCAGAGGCCAGAAATTGATATCCGATGCCATTTTGAAATCCAAAATGGCGGCTTCTGGTTTCATAAAAAGTGGATAATACTGTCAAATACTCATCTATATGGGTATATTTGAAATCGGGGTGATGTCCAGAGGCCAAAATTGATATCCGACGCCATTTTTAAATCCAAAATGGCGGCTTCCGGTTTGATAGAAAATTGAAAATACTGTCAATACCCATCAATATGGACATTTTAGGAATCTGGGTGATGTCCAAAGGCCGTAAAATGATATTCTATGCCGTTTTGGAATCCAAGATGGTGGTCATTGGGTTCAAAATAAGTGGCCAATTCCCTTAAATATTGGTTATTTTGGAACGGGGATGACGTATAGCTGCAGAAAGCTGATGTCCCATGTCATTTTGGAATCCAATATGGTGACTATATCGTATAATATTTTACATATTTTATAAAACAGGTGGCCACCATATTGCATTTCAAAATGGCGTAGGAAATCGATTTTAGGTCTTCATGCGTTACCCGCTTACCACTAAACCCATATTTTAAGGTATGTCACTGGTTTTTAAAACCAATGGCCACCATTTTAGATTCCAGCCGATTTTCAGCCTCAACACGTCGTCTTCTATCCGAAAGTACCCAAATTGTAAAGTATTTGACACTCTTTTTGAAACTAATGGCTTTCTTGGATTCCAAAATGGTGTAGGACATCGATTTTCGGCTTTTACCGGCCGTCCCCGTTCTGAAAGTAGCCATATTGTAGAGTATTTGACACTTATTTTGAACCCATTGGCCACTGTATTGGATTCCAAAATGGCATCGGACATTAATTTTAGGCATCTACACGTCGTCCCCGTTCCGAAAATACCCATATTGTAAGGTATATGACACTTCTTCTGAAACTGAAAGCCACCATATTAGATCACCACGATTATAAAAGTACCCATATTGTGAGGTATTTGACACTTTTTCTTAATCCGAATGCCGCCATGTTGGATTTCAAAATGGCATCGGGCATCGATCTCCGGCATCTACACGTCATCCCCGTTCTGAAAATACCCATATTATTGAGTATTGCAAACTTTTTGAAACCCAATGGCTGGCATCTTGCATTCCGAAATGGTGTCGAACATCATTTTTTGGCATCTACCAGTTGTCCCCGCTCCGAAAATACCCATATTGTGGAGTATTTGACACTTTCTGAACATAATGACCACCTACTTGGCTTTCAAAATGGCGTTGGACATCGCCTCTACACATCTTCCTTGTTCCAAAAATATCCATATTGCAGGACAATTTGCAGGTTCTAAAAAACCGATGGCCAAAATGGCATCGGTCTTCCATACATTTGACAGATAACATTTGTCAAATTGAACGCAAAGTATCAAAATCCACACAGATTCGCAAATCGTTTCGGATCGATGTTTTTAGAATTAGGGCGCTACTTCGTCGTAATCGCCCATTTTAAATTTTTGGTTCCCTAGTTTTGTACACGACTAACAAAAAGAGGGACGCACATTTTTGCCTGTGGACTTGAGACATACTTCAAGTCCAGGCGTACATCGTACGGGTTAGGCAAAAATGTGCGTCTATCTTGAAAAACTGTCGCTTCAATGGCCCTTCGCTCATTTTCAACTTCTATTCAATTTTCATACTGCCGTACTCTAACGGAACTATCCACCTACCCTCTTCTAAAGATCATTCTCTAGCTAATAAATCATCACACTAAAGCTTCATGTTAGCATTTCCAACCAACTCTACTACCAGTTGTTGCTTGTAGAGATAGGGGTGTCAGTCCCGTGGATGTAATACGTTCGTACGAATGTCGTCGGATTTAAATTTTCGGCCTCTGGACATCACCACGATTCCAAAAATACCCATATTGATGGGTATTTGACAGTATTTCCACTTTTATGAAACCGGAAGCCGCCATCTTGGATTTCAAAATGGCGTTAGATATCGATTTCCGGCCTCTGGACATCATCCCGGTTCTAAAAATACCCATTTTTAGGAGTTCATATTTGATATCAAATAGGGATGGCATAAACATAAACTGTTCGGAGTACTCCGGATACTATCCGGAGGGAAAAATAATGGATATTATCCCTATCCACTTTTTCTTTCTTCCGGATAATTTTAAAACTTTTCTATCCGGATAATTTTAACTTGAATATTATCCGTTTTAAAATTATCCGGATAGGGATAGGGATAATATCCAATGATAGATTGGATAATGGATAATGGATAGGGATAATTTTGATGCCTGCTCAGGATCGGCTTACTACTTGGTAATCACGAGGAACTTGTGCAGCGTACGGTCACCTGACTAGAGATACTGTGTAGTGTGAATTTATTGATTTAAAGATTTACTTTGACTTTGAGGGTTTTTATTTAACTAATTGGTGTGTTGGTGGGATTGGTAGTTTATTTTTCTTATGTTGAGTAAATTGCTATACAACCAAGATCAGTGATATAAAGGTTATATAAACTGTTATAGAACATATGTGTTGCTTGGTTATCGCTGAGTTCCTGCACTTTTTGCAATTCTAAATAGGGCTGGAATTAGGGGCGTAACAGCTTTTGCAAACAATGGCTTCTTTCGATGATTTCAAGAAAGTTAATGCTCGCCAACGCAAATCAACAACACCATTGGGTAGCGGGGGCTGGGGGGACTTCCCCTACCCGACGGTAACGTTGGTTTGCGTGAGCGTACATTGAGCTCCTAGAAATCATCGATAGAAGTCATTGTTTACAAAAAGGCTATTACGACTTAATTCCAGCTCTATCTAGAATTATGGGTCAACTAAATTCAAATTTGGGACGTTCTCATTCGCCGTG